TCCCTGTCACTCACTGGCTAGGCTGGGACAGCTATGGCAGCGGCCCTGACTTGGATTCCTCTCCTTACGGGCAAGTCGGGGATCATCTTCAGGGGAAGGGACAGGATGAGGGGTGCGATTTCGGGGTTGTGAGGTAGAAGAGTAGGAAGTCCTCGGAAGAAGGGTGTGGGGTGGATGAAGTAGGGTCTAGAGGGTTTTGGGGAGTGGGGTGGCGCTAATGACTCAGGAATCCCATGCTGGGAGCTGGACCCTGAAGGATAGGTACTGGGAGCTTTGAAGGCAGAGGTGTCCTAGGGCCCTGGGTGGTCATGACAGGACAAGCCAAAAGGGTCGTGGGCTCTTTAATGAGCTGGCCGGGACTCCACTTCTGACAGACCAGGCTAAATTTGGCATTAAGAGGAAAGGCGGAGGAGGCAGCCTGGGCAAGTCTACTCTGCTGGGCTCCTATTGGCCTAAAGCACCGACCCTGTTCTGTGTTCTTCTCTGGGAACTGGGGGCCTCGGAACGGCTACCCCTTTTTCTGAGGGTCCTCTCTGCCTCCAGCATCCCAGACCTTTGGTGTGGGATTCTGTCCCAAGAAATCTGAACACACACAGCACACCCCTTTCTCAACCAAAAACACCAGTTCCCTCCCGCGTGGGCCTAAAATATGGAATGAGAAGGTGGCTGGGGGTCCCATGAATCCAAAGACAACAAAAGTCTGGGTCTTGTCACCCTCTAAGCGTTGCTGCAAAAGGGTCTGCACCCCACTGCTTGGAGCCAGACAGGAGTCCTTGGCTCTCATGGCATCAGGAGCACTGTGGGGAATGGAGTCCACCCCCTGCCCTTTCCTGAAGCTGTCTCTGTGTTTGGGGCCTGTGGGGACCCCACAGGTCTCCTGGCAGGGCTGAAGGACACCAAGGCCCAGCAGACAGCCTTATCCCCGCTCGTGGGTCGTGTTTTTGTGCACCCCTTGGAACACGCCACCTTCCTGCGCCTTCCTGAACACATTGGTAAGAGAGGGGACAGGTGGGCCTGAGTGCCAATCCAACTCTCCCCTCCTGTCTCGAGTTTCCAATTCCCTCTTGTTCCTCCCATCAGCGGTGCCACCTACCGTCCGCCTCACCTACCACGCCCACCTCCAGGGACATCCAGACCTGCCCCGGTGGCTGCGCTACACGCAGCGAAGTCCCTATAATCCTGGCTTCCTCTATGGTACTCCCACTCCAGAAGATCGCGGGCGTCAAGTCATCGAGGTGCGGGCCACAGAGCCATCCAGCCCCCTGCGGGGTGGCCACTGGGGCCTCCCAGGAGTAGCCTGCCAGTGGGATTGATGTTTACGCCTTCTCATTTACATACAATTTGCATACACCCCCTCTGCCCGTTGTCAGCGCTCCGCAGCAGCTTTCCCTTAGCTCCAGGCCTCAGTCCTCTTTCCATTCCCCCCAGGTCACAGCCTACAATCGGGACAGCTTTGACACCACTAGACAGCAGCTGGTGATGGAGATTGGGGACCCCGAAGGTACCTCCATTTCCGTTCCATTCCTCTCCTGGTGCCAGTCTTGAAGAGCCTTCCCTGGGAGGGTGTTGGGAAGCTGTGGGGACTAGAGCGTCCTGGAGAGGGCGCATCAGGGCAGACATGGGGTTGATAGCTTTAGGGAAGAAGCTCCTGAATGAGGTCTATCCTTGGGCTGTGGAACTGAGCCACCCACAGGCACTGGGCAGTCATGGGCTGCAGTGGGCCTGTGCTGTGTATGGGCCGTTGGCACAGAGGTGTTGTGGGGATTACAGGAAAGCGTGGAGGAGGTTTAGGAAGCACCTGGGGAGCCAAGCACGGGGTGGGGTGCAGCTGAGTGCCCACTTGGCCTCCCCAGGTCCTCGGTTGCCATACCAAGCTGAGTTCCTGGTGCGGAGCCATGATGTGGAGGAGGTTCTGCCCTCCACACCTGCCAACCGCTTCCTCACAGCCTTGGGGGGCCTCTGGGAGCCAGGGGCGCTCCAGTTGCTCAACATCACTTCTGCCTTGGACCGTGGAGGCCGCGTCCCTCTTCCCATTGAGGGCAGGAAGGAAGGGTAAGGGGGCAACCCAGAAAGGGCTTCCTGGTTGACCAGAAAAAAAAAAAAAAAAAAAAAAGCCATCTTCCTGATTTCCTGATCACCACTGCGGCATACGTCCATCTCTTCTTTGTTTCCCACCATTGTCCACTCCCTTCCATCTTCATGGGCCCAAACCCTCTTTGCCCTGAGCTCTGTACTTACTGACACCCCATGAGGACATATGAGATCCATCTGCTACGAGACGTTTCTGGGGTCCATGAAGAGTGCTCTCAGGTCTTGGGGGCTGTGCCTTCTCCCACCAGTTCCTGATGTTCCCGATGGGCCGCTTCTCCTAGCCACCCTCCCCCACCCCGGGGTTCTTGCCTACTGTCAGGACACCTTCACCCCTGTCTCAACACCTGCTCACTTCCACTGTGCCGACGGCGGCTCCTTTCCGTTCCAGGGTGTACATCAAGGTGGGCTCTGCCACGCCCTTCTCCACCTGCCTGAAGATGGTGGCATCACCTGACAGCTATGCCCGTTGTGCTCAGGGGCAGCCTCCGTTACTGTCCTGCTACGACACCTTGGCACCCCACTTCCGTGTTGACTGGTGCAATGTGTCTCTGGTGAGGAGTGATCCTGGATCTAGGGTTTGGGTTTTAGGGTATAGCCCTCATCAGTTCTGCTCCATCTATGATTTCCTTAGCTCAGCTCTTTTTTTGTTTTCTCTGATGGTGTCAGTTTGAGTTTCAGCATCATTCTGTGGGCTCTGTCGCGGACACACAAACGTACACATACACTTCTATTTTCTGCCACAAGAGGGCGACAAAGCCTATAATCCACATCTGGAGTCCCCAGCTCTGAGTCCCAGATCTGCTCAGCTAAAAACTACCAAGAGTTCCTAAGCAAGCGCTGATCATGCGTCTGTGTGACACCTCTATCTGCTTCCGGCGGAAGTGCCACCAAACAAGCCTGCCTGCACTGAGAGGCCCATTGCGGCTCTCGGTGAAATTTCAAGGGACCCTAGAGATTTTGACTCCCAGGCTGGAAACTGCTGGTGTGCCCTGCTCCGGGGAACCAGCAAAGGGAAACTCCATCAGGGTTAAGTGGTAAACTGGATCACTGACAACCTGCTGAAGGCTGTGACACGCTGGGTGCCACATGCCCAGCACGTTTCAGCACAGTGATTCTGCAGGAATAGGAACAGTATCACCAATCCGAATTCACAGCTGAGGAAGCCATGTTGAGGCAAGTCGTCCCAGTGAATCACTAGCCTGAGTCATCATCGTTCAGACCTAGCAGCACCAGCCCTAACCGTTATACGTGCCTCTCCTGGAACTGGCTTCTCCTGGCTCCTCATTCAGGGGTTGTTCTGGAGTCACGTGGGCTAGGGGAGGCAGGTAGGAAGAAGGTCTGTGGTTATACGGTGTTCCTAGGTTAATGGTTGCGGATGCCCTGCCGTGTCTTCTGCGGGCAGCATCTCTGTGTCCATTGAGCTACTTCCTGGGTCAGTCCTGAACTCTCTGCAGGTGGACAAGTCGGTGCCAGAGCCTCTGGATGAGATGCCCACCCCAGGCGACGGGATCCTGGAACATGACCCGTTCTTCTGCCCACCCACGGAGGCCACCAGCCGAGAATTCCTGGCAGATGCCTTGGTCACCCTCTTGGTGCCCCTGCTGGTGGCTCTGCTGCTTACTCTGCTGCTGGCTTATGTCATGTGCTGTCGGCGTGAAGGACGGTGAGTGTGCCGGACAGAGAGGGCAAAGGGTTGGTACTGAGAATGGAGAAGCCAGACTTCTCAGGGGATTTTTCTTTTTAAGAGTTATTATGTATACAGTGTTCTGTCTGCATGTACACCTGCACTCCAGAAGAGGGCACCAGATCTTGTTATAGATGGTTGTGAGCCACTATGTGGTTGCTGGGAACTGAACTCAGGATCTCTGGAAGAGCAGCAGACAGTGCTCTTAACCTCTGGGCCATGTCTCCAGCCCCCTAAGGGAATGGGATTCTTAACTGTAAGAGGAATATGGAGCCCCTTTTCTCAGGGAGATGGGAGATCCATTCCTTTCTGACTTGGAGCTAGTAGGGCATTCTGAATATAAGCACAAGAAATTCCTGCAACGGGAGCTCTTGGGACACCATGTAGCAAAGCCAGACTGGTACTGACCCTCTGCCTCCCCCCTCCCCCAACCTCTATTTTTCCACAGGCTGAAGAGAGACATGGCTACCTCTGAGTGAGTAGAGCAAAGCTGGGGCGGGGGGAGGAGGCTGGAGAGGAGAGCCCTCCAGAATTGTTGAATTGGAGCCTTTACTCCCTGAGCTGCAAAGACCTCTCTCTCTCTCTCTCTCTCTCTCTCTCTCTCTCAGCCCTGGCCCTGGTCTGGCTGGGGGCGTAATCCATGTCTTGACCTTGTTCCTCATGTGTTCTGGTGGTAGAAGAGGCTGTTATGGTATAGGGAAGGGGGAGCTGCCCCTGTCCAGGGGAAAGCCCTGAGGTGCAGCAAGAGGTTTCCGGTGTGGATTCTCTCTTCCCTCTCTCCTCCTCTGCTCTTTCTCTTTCTCGTTCCCTTTCTCCCTCCCTCCTTTCCCTTCCTCTCCCTCTTCATCCTCCCTTTCTTCCTCTCTTTCCCTCTCTGCTGTGAGCCAGACACCTGGCTGGCCTCTGGTTCTCCATGAGAAGATGTGGCTGGCCCAGCTGATGGCAACAGATGCCTTGAATCCTACCTTATCTTTCTTCTTCTTCTTCTAATATTTATTATGTAGACCGCTTTCTGCATGCATGTGTGCCTACACACCAGAAGGCACCAGATCTTACTAAAGATGAACCACCCTGTGGTTGCTGGGAATTGAACTCAGGACCTCAGGAAGAACAGCCGGTGCTCTTTACCCCCTGAGTCATCTCCAGCCCCTAGCCCCTACCTTATCTTTCTAAGCCCATCTTTTTTTTTTTTTTTTCGTTTTTTTTTTTTTTTTTGGTTTGATTTTTGGCCTTCTGAGATGGGATTTCTCCATGTAGACTTGGCTGTCCTGTCCTGGACTTAACGTAGACCAGGGTGTCCTCGAACTCACAGCAATCCGCCTGCCTCTGGCCTCCCCAGCCCAGTGCTGAGTGCTGGTTTTACAGGCGTGGGACAGACTCCAAGCCCATCTTATTCTGCCTCGGGTGCCTCCTACACATGGCCTCTCCCCACTTCCCATTCCCTCACCCCCTCAGCCCCTGGCCTAATTTCCCCACCCTCGGAAACCCAAAGATTCCAGAAGGCGATCGTGAAATAAGTTGGGCTTTTATTCCCACTTGTCTGAGCTTGTGGCAAGCCCGGCGCCCTGCCTGACCTGCCTTTTCAATGGCGGCGGCCTTTGGCTACCCTACGAACTCCCTTGAAAAGCCGTGTTTGGCTCTTTTTGGAGCCTAGTAGTGACCGGCGTGATACAGATTGGCGCTGCCCGGGCTTCTGCCTCGGCTGCCTCTTCTGGCGTCTCTTGGCCTTGCGCTGGGACTTGAAGGCCTGCTTGTTGCCCAGGCGGAAAGAGCCTGAGGCGCCCTTGCCGGTCACCTGCTTGAGCATGCCTTTCTTCACTAGATTCTGGAGCACGCGCTTGAAACGCCAGGTGTTCTGGGCCATATTGTAGCCTGTGGTGGTCACAGCTTTCTTCAAGGCAGCGAGGGACACCCGGCTGTGTAACCCCTTGTCGGCCACAGCCCTCAGAATCACCTTCGACATGGTGGGCTTCCGGAGGGTCTGGGTGGTGGTGGTGTGGGGTCCGGTCTTAGTCTCACTCTTGCTCCGGTCCCCTGATGTGCTGGCATCTTGGTCTGCAGCCACCCCAGCGTTTGGGGCTGCAGGTGTTGTCGCCGGCGACATGTCTCTCTGCGTCTCTCCCAGGGAAGGCTGAAGGGCACTGGGTGCTAGGACCTCCAGGGTGGCGGCTGGAGGGTGTCCACCCGGTTTCCTCTCAGTAGTGGGTGAGTTGTATTCTGGCTTCTGCTTCCCTCAGAGGCTCCTCTTGTAGGGGTCTGGGCCACACCTCCTGGGTGGCCAGAGGGAGGACCGGGGATGATCACCCACGGTTGGCCTCAGCAGATTTGTGCTGTGGGCTAGGGGGGCTGGTGAAGTCATCTCTGCAGTGACCTCAGGGGCCCATTGTGAGGTAGGCGGAATCCTGTGGGGGTCACAGTAGCCCCACTGTCTCTTCTTAGGAAGGTCAATGGTATCAGACAGTGGGGACGGGGGATGTGCCAGGTGCCCTTCAGAGGAGGGCATGCATATATGTGTACTTCTGAACCAATTCTAGGACACTTGGGATCCTCGGGTTTATTTAGTTAGTAGTGGAACTCAGGGTTTCTCAGTTAGGGTTTCTCCCTAACTGAACTATAGCCCTCGGTTTGAAATCCACCATCTGATTTCCAGCAGCTTCCACTCACTACATCTTTGCATCTCTGAGTGGGAAAAAAAAAAACCAACTAAAATTTAGTGTTCATTATTTTGAGATGGGATCAACTTGTTTTTGTTTTTTTGTTTGTTTGTTTGTTTTTTAGGGGGCTAAGACAGGATTTCTTTGTGTAGCACTGGCTCTCCTGGAACTCACTCGGTAAACCAGGCTGGCCTTGAACTCGAGGAAATCTGCCTGCCTCTGCCTCCTGAGTGCTTGGATCAAAGGCATGCACCACCACCATCCAGCTAAGACATGGTCAAACTGTATAGTCCTGAGTGGCCAGAAATCCACTACGTGAGCTCAGACTCACAGAGATTTATCTGTGCTGGGATTAAAGGCATGTATGTATCACCATGCCTGGCTACATTTATGTATTGTTGAGGTAGGATGTTGGCCTCAATACACAGCTGAATATTTTCCTTGAACTTCTGGTTCTATTGCTTTCACCTTTCTGAGTGCTAGAAACTACAGGTGTGCCTTCACACCCAGGTTAATGTGGTGCTGGGAATTGAACCCAGGGCTTCATGTGTTGCTAGGAGTGAGCTTTACCAACTGAACTCTTTCAACACATTTTAAATGGAGAACACTTTTCAGAGTAAAACACAATTCCCTGGTTTATGTGAATTGATTGATCTTCCATACAAAACTGTTAAAAATGTTTTATTAAACTAGCTCTGGTGGCCTCTACCTGTAATCCCAGCACTATGGAGCTAGAGATAGGAGGATCTGTACCTAGCCTCCATTGGAGGCCATTCTGGGTTCTACGAAAGCCTGTCTCAGAACCACAAAAAAAGAAGAAAAATGAAAGAGAAAGAAAGAAAGAGAAAAGAAAAGAAAGGGTTTGGGTTTTGTTTTGTTTTTTCAGATAGGGTCTCTCTGTTATGTAGCTCTGGCTGTCCTGGAACTGGCTATGTAGACCAGGCTGGCCTGGAACTCACAGAGATCTGCTTGCCTTTTCCTCTTGAGTGCTGGTGTTAAAGATTTGTGCCACCATGCCTGGCTAGGTTTCACATCTTTTACTTGGTCTCTGATTGAGACCAATAATTTTGACACACATTTCACAAGAAAGATTCTTCAGATTTTTCTCCACAGCCCCCCACCCTCTCCCACCCCCCAAAAAAGGCTGTAACAGATTTGACCAGTTGTGCCACTGGCACGATGACTTTTCTCTTGGGGCCAGTATTTTTAGCACTTCTAGCTTTCCTGGTTGAGTTTGCAGCTCTGGCATCAGGGAGATCCGCTTCCCTCCTTCTGTTTGGAATCAATGATTCTGCCCTGTCTTTGCTCAGCCTCTGCGGGCCTGAGTTTTGTGTTGATTTGGTCCTACCCAGATGCAGTTATTTTACCTAGGTCAATGCCGATGGCTTTTCAAGTTGGCCATAAGAAGTGGTTTTTGCCTGCCTGGCTGTCACCTGTATCAGAGCTGACAGGTCAAAAAGTTTTCCAGGCCCCAGTGGCCATTACTCTGTGGTCCTGTGTGCCGGGGGGCAGAGTGTCTGTCGGTGATGGAGTAGGTGTGGGAGAGGCCTATGACAGTGCGTGCTTGTGTGGTGTGTGTGTGTGTGTGTGTGTGTGTGTGTGTATGCAGTGGCGCCTGCCTGACCTTCCATCTGCCTGAGTAGTTTGGGAAGGCTCCTCAGGATTTGGTGTGTGCTCTCCTGCTCTTCTTGGGAGATTTTTTTTCACCTGTGCACTACCAGAGTGATGAGACCTGGAGGTGGAAATGGGGGCACCCCGGGGTGGAGCCAAGAATACCCAGCTTTCAATGCAGACTCTCTGCATCCAGAGCCCTGTCTCAGTCACTGGGCACAAGCAGGCACCACTGAATTCCTCATGCCTCTTCCCCCACCCCCGCGCACTTACATCATGACCTGGTAGGCAGACTGCAGGACTGCTCTGAGGCAGGCGGAGGCTACGCCCTAGAGGCCAGTTCCGAGAACCGATGGTCACCTCGCTTGCGTCTCCAGTATCCAGATGTTCCACCACTGTACCATCCATGGGAACACAGAAGAGCTCCGGCAGATGGCCGCCAGCCGTGAGGTGCCCCGGCCTCTTTCCACCTTGCCCATGTTCAACGTGCGTACAGGAGAGCGGTTGCCTCCCCGAGTAGACAGCGCACAGATGCCCCTCATCCTGGACCAGCACTGAGAGCCCTGCAAGGTGGGTCTGGCCGGGCAGTGCCATCCTCCAACCGAGAAACAAGAGAGCCTCAATGCCGAGGCTGGGGCACGTGGTGGGGTATGGGAGATCACACCGACCTGCCTGTCCCCATGTGTGGGTGCTCAACAGTGCCAGGATTATGCCACACAACTTCATAGCACTCGGGACCAGAGGGTCAGGGTGAGGAAGACAGGAGTCCGGTACCCTCAATCCTCCTCTCTGTCGTCCTCCTGCCCTTTTAGTCTTGGCTCCAGCTGTACCCCTCAGAGCTGCTGACCCGTGACCCCATCCTCCACCAAGTCCAGCTCCTAGCCTGCTTGAACCTCTGGCTCCAAAGAGGCAGACGGATGGGGGAGGGAGGGGGAGGGTACCTGGAGCCAGCACCCAAAAATAAATAAGTACCTGCTGTTTTGATTGTCTTATTGCTTCTAGTATTTTCTTCTCCGTGGTTGTCCTTGCCTCTGTTTTCCCTTCTCCTGAGAATGCCCAGGGGCTGCCCATCCTGCCCTTTGGGCTCTTCCAATCTTGCTGTGCTCAAGTTCACCAGATCCAGTCATGAGGTTTGACTGGATTATTATATTAGCCCACTTTCTAGACCAGAAAACTAAGGCCCATAGAGAGTGAGTGACTTGCCCAATGTCCCAGAGAAGGCCCTGTCTACCCATTACACTGCCTTCTGTGGACTTGAGTTTGAGAAACAGGGGATCCAGGTCCTTACCGGCAATCTGGTTGATGAGTACCGCAGTTCCCCGAAGGAACTTCCATTGCATTCTGTGTTTGGGGAGAAGCTGATCTCGGTATGGAGCTGTTGGGAGATAGGACTGGCTGGCCATCCTGGGCACCAGTGGTCTGCCCTTCCAGAATGTCCCCTGAGCTGCGTGTGGCCAGTGTTTAAGCTGGTTGTGCTTGCTACAACTGGAGCAGGCCAGCGCTGCTGTGCTGTCTGCCGGCTGCTGCTCTGTGATGGGCCTCACACATATTAACACTTTTTTAGGAGGGAAGGCTGAGACTAAGCCTGAAAGGGGACCCTGACAGAGAGTGACAACAAAGGAGTGAGGACACATGGCCTAGCCCATCTCATCTAAGAGAAGGCACTCAACACCCCGGCCCCTCTTTAAGGCTTCTTTCTTGGAAGCTTCCAGCCCTCAGCTCCACTTCCTCCTTCTCTCCTGGACTCACTACATAGCCTAACCTGTCCTGGAACTCACTATGTAGACCAAGCTGGCCTCGAAAATTCCCCTATATTTCCACAACTTCCTTCACTGGTCTCTGCTCTAACACATATCCCTAGAGAGACCCTCTGTGTCCCCTCTGCTCCACGGCCTCCAGAGCCGCTTCACAGCCTCTTGGCCCTCTGACAGGAGAAGCTGTCTGGGCTCATGGGTTAGGCTCACAACCAAAACATCATGTCTTCAAGCACTAGAGTCTGGATTCTGTCTACCCTCTCTCTAATAGCTCCCCACCCCCACCCCAAGCCCCAGCACAGCCCCTGCCACAAAAAAAATGCCAGGCAAAGCTGTTTAGAAGGAATACCAAGGGACACTGCTGTCTGTGTATTTGCTTAGAGTTATTTATTTATTTATATCTTATGTGCATTGGTGTTTTTCCTGCATAAATACCTGTGTGAGGGTGTCAGGTCCCCAGGAACTTGAGCTGTCATGTGGTTGCTGGGAATTGAACCCGAGTCCTCTGGAACAGCAGTCAGTGCTCTTAACCACTGAGCTATCTATCCAGCCTTGAGGGGTTTTGTTTGTTTGTTTGTTGTGTATGGGTGTTTTGTCTGCGTGCGTGTATGTCCTGCAGAGGCCAAAAGAGGTGTCACATCTCCTGGAACTGGAGTTACAGACAGCTGTGAGGTGCCACAAGGGTGCCTGGACTTGAACCCTGGTCCTCTAGAAGAACAGCCAAATGCTGTTAAGTGCTGAGTCTCTCCAGACCCTCCTCAGAGTTCTTTTCTCTTTCCTAGTTAAGGACGGTAATGAGAAGGGGGTGGGAGGGGGGTGTAGCTCTGAAATGGACTGGAAGCGATCAGTCGGGGTGACTGAGTTCCTTCAGACCAGCCCGCTCAGAGTTCTCAAGGAGGCTGCGCTTCCTCTCTGGGTGAAAGGCTCAGCCTTTGCCAATGTCTTCTGTACCTCCACCCTGTCCTGGGCACCCCACACCCATTAGCTGCCTAATTATGGAACTGAGTCCGTAAGCACTGACAGAGGCTGGTAGCGGGCGGTGCTGGCACGGAATATGTACTCAGTGAGCACAGGCTGGTGGAACGGTCTCTAATCAAATGGTTCTTTGCAGAACAAACAGATGCCTCTCCATCTCTCATTGGCTGTTTTCTCCTTCCCTGCCAGCCCTTCAGCTGATGGGTGGGCATGGCTCCAGCTTGGTGTCGCAGTCATAGGGTTTAGGCTGGCTTCCCCTGGGTCCCTGCACCCTACTGCCCCCCTCCCTCTGCCTGGCTTCCTGCAGGGCCTTCCTGGGCTGGTCAAGGGTGGGAGAACACGCCCCCGGCTCCTCCCTCCTTCTGCTGCCTGGCCTTGCCTTGGGGTCTTGGCAGCCTCTTCCTCCTAGCTCATTCCAAAGAGCACACAGGAGCCTGCCTGGCTGCCTTCCTGAAAGGAAGTGGCCCAGACAAGTAGCCGGGAGGGTGGCGTGACTGCAGAAGACACTGAGCCCTGCCTGGGCACACGCGTTAGATCGCCCAGCTGACCAGCAGCACCCTAGGAGGACACAGACACGCTCAGCGCCCACTCTGCTCTCCCGGAAGAGTCAGTCCATATAGTGTAGTCAGGACCTCTTCCTACAGTCCCTGACAAGGAGCAGCAGCTGTCCCCAGCCCCCACCCCACTTCTAGTCCTGGTGATGGCCCTGCTTCTGTGACCTGTTGAGCGCCTTCCACCTTCACCCTAAATGCAGACTGCGCATGCGTGGCCTGACTCTCCAGACATTTCCTCACCGCCTTCCATTGTCCGGATCCTGGACTACAAGGCGCCGCCCACAGCAGGCCTCAAACGCTAAGGCAGCACCTCCCCAGATAGGAGTTAAACGTGGCTCTGGCTCCACAGCTGCCTCAACAGTTAGTTTGCTCGTGAAAGGAATCACCCCGACGTGAGACCCCATGGGGACAGGCATGCCAGAACATGCATTCAACATGTGAAACAGCATTGTCGTGAGCACCCACGCAGCCTTCCCCGGGTCAGAGGCGTGTGGGTCTTTCTGACCGGTCAGATCCGGACTGAGGGGCTCTACTTTCACCAGCGCCTCCGGAAATGTTGGTTTCCCCTTCTGAAACAGAGATGAATAGTAAAGTTCACGGTCCTTGATGCGGTTGCGCTGCTGGTCATGTGCGGACACCGCAAACATGGCTAGTTCAGATTGAGATGTGCCTGGTTTTAATGGCTATTTGGGGTTGTATTAGGTTAAATAAGAGAAACTAGTTTCACCTGATTTTTTTTTTTTTTTTTTTTTTTTTTTTACATAGAGTCTCACGTAACCCAGGTTTTGAACTAGATGTGACACGGAGAGATGACTCGGAGCAGTTGGTCCTGTCTCCGTGTGTGCGTCACGTGGTACTAAGGACTGAACTCAGAGCATCCTGCCCTCGGGGAATCACTCGCTCTTCCAGCTGCGATACACCCCAGCTCATCTTTTTGCCTTTTTAAACATGGATGCTAGAGAATGAAAAATATATGTGCGGTCCACAATCTACTTTTTTAAAAAATAATTTATTTTTATCTTTATGTGCATTGGTGTTTTGCCTGCACGTATATCTGTGTGAGGGTGTCAGATCCCCTGGAACTGGAGTCACAGACACTTGTGAGTTGCCACGTGGGTGCTGGGATCTGAGTCCACAACCTCCAGAAGAGCAGTCCGCACACTCTTAAACTCTGAGCCACCTCTCCAGACCCCACAATCTACTTTTAACATCACACTCACACCACACACACACACACACACACACACACACACACACACACATACACACACACTCACTCGTGCATGCACATGAATGTGTGTGTGTGTGTGTGTGTGTGTGTGTGTGTGTGTGTAGGTTCCAGAGCATGTGTGTGAAGTTGGAAGAAAACTTTTGAAAGTTCTCTCTTTCCTCCACACCGGTCCTAGGGGCCCATCTGAGGCTGTCAAGATTGGCATTGAACTCTCTACTTGCTGAGCCATCTTACTAGCCCCCCATTCTATTTTTATGGGTGTGGTGGGGGGGTAATGAATGATTTCGTGGCTTTTCCAAACCCACTCAGACCCAGAGCTCAGTCTCTTCCTTGCCCTCTTTGCTGCTGTTCCACAGCCTTTCAGATGGAAGCTGCCTCTCACCTGCCCCTCCTTTTGCTGTCTTCCTTTTCCAGTCACCTTACTTTTCAATTACGCCTATCACACCCCCCCCCAACCCCATCCTTCTCTGTTTGAGACAAGTTTTTCTCTGTGTATCCCTGGCTGTCCTGGAACTCACTTTTGTAGACCAGGCTGGCCTCAAACTCAGAGATCTGCCTGCCTTTGCTGGGATTAAAGTCGTGAGCCCCCACACCCTCTCAGCTTCTCCCATCATCTTAGGCAGGGAGAGTCACATGTGATCCAGCACCCTGGGGTGCCAGCTCATCTCCCTCCCTGCTTGGTTTCACACATTCTTTGCAAAGAGTTGAGATCTTCAAGTGCACAGGGATCAGTCACCCTCCCAGAAAGACTATCTGCTTCCCAGGAGGTTTTGCCTCCTCCAAGCAAATGCACCAGCTCAGTTTAGAGCATGCGTCCAAGAGGGACACACTAAGAGCCTCTTGCCGGCTTGAGAAG